AAAAAGGTTTACAGTTGATGAAAAAACTTTCCAAGTTTGGGCTGCAGTGTTTCTGTAACACTGTGACATCAGTACACCAACCTTAATTAATGTAGAAGCAGACTCCACCACCCTTTGTTTTCCCTGAGAGCTCTGTTTCGCAGTCCGCCCGGTGAAGTTGGAAGCCCGGCAGATTTAAGACAGCGTCTGGGACTCGCTTGTAACACCCCTTTCAACACTTGGGATACAGATTTAAATGGTTACCTGTGTGTTGGGCCAATAGCTGAGGTTCGACTACTGGAGCAGAGTGGATGACTAATGAAACGCTCAGAGAACTTGGTTTGATCCTGTGGAATGCACTACACACAGGCACAGGACTTTGTTTTCAGACACCAGCTTTATTTCGTGTTGTATGTGATGACCGACCACAGTCTGACAGCTGTCGGACACAGCTGATCTCTCGGCCCCCTTCCGCTCCTCTCCCGTCTCACTATAAAGGGTAAGGAAAGCATCATCAGTCCAAAACGCCATCAGCTGTTTTCACCTGCGTTTCCAGCACCGCCCCGTTGAGCTCACTGCACCACCCCTCCCCTGCAGCCGCGCCCGGGACCACGCCTCCGCCACAGATCCGTTTGTATTCACAATTAAAGAATCTCAAATACATACAATGAAAACAATAACAGTACATGAAAGGAAAAATTGGGCCCAAGTCACGGAAAATAATAAACAAAACACACACAACCCCGGGGGATTTGACTCAGTCTCTCTCTCTCGTGTCAGCCGACACCCTTAAGTGTGAGTCCAGCAATGAGGATTCTCTTTGCAGGATGTGCAAATCTGTCCTACCACTTAAGTAGAGTTTGTACAGTTCATGGTTCATCCAAAGAATTTAGTTCTCTTCTTAAAACAATCATCTCAAGGATCTTGGAGGGGTGGCTCGCCATCTTTGGACTGGATCATCACTGAACTGTACTCCCAAGTAAAAAAAAAACCTGAACAGTCAGAATAACATTCAAAAATCTATATTTAGTCATTTATACATATATCCTTTCTTACGTTTCGTTCATACATACTAACAAATTTGCATTTTACTTTCCAGTATACAGAAAGAACGACAGAATATTCCAAAACATAGACAATAATAACTTCTTACCAAAGTAACCAATAAAATGGGCTCTCCTGGAGCTTCAAAATGGCGATGGTGCAGCGTTGTAGCACAACTACAAAGAAACATAACCCCATTTTCTTTAAACTGTATTCATCTCACAATGAACACAATTAAGGATTGATATAGGAACATATCAACATCTACAGCATACATATAACTTACAATCTTTACATGCATCGTCATTAGAAGCTAACAAACTCTAACATACAGTTTAATCCTTACAATCACACATGTACAGCCACATGGCTAATAGCAATAGCCGCGATAGCCGCTAGCATGTCATCATTAGTTGCTTAAACTCACAATATTCTTGTTCACAACAAATTAACTCACCCAGAAGAATCCGAGCAGTAACAAACTCCTTTCTGGTTAACAAAAATTTCCAGATAGTTTATTTCCACCGTACAATCCGACTGAATAAAAGAAACCACGCTTACAACTTGGAAAAAACGGACTTTTCTTCCTCTCCCTCTTTCCTGATATCCGTAGCTGCTACGCAGTGAACGGCAGGAGGCGGTACTTCCCCCTGTATACTTCAAGGACCATCAGGACATTATAGACATCTTCTATTTTATTAATTCTCAACAAAATAATTTAACTTAATAAAACTTAACAGTGAACTCAAAATACTAACATCACTCATAACACACTAAAACCCTTAGTAACTCTCCAGGATTACACGCTCACTGAGCCAGGTTTCAGTGAAGCAGAGGGCAGCAGAGCGTGCAAAGTCCTTGTTAGTCCGGTTTAAGAGCAGTAATTTGTCGACTTTGTTTGGAAGAGAGCGGAGATTCGCGAGGTGAATGGAGGGGAGTGCCGTGCGGAATCCTCGCTGACGTAGTTTCACCAGCGCACCAGCGCGACTCCCCCGTCTACGTCTTCTCCAGGAGCCACAGAGAGCTGCTGCGCCTCCAACTAAAATCTCCAAAAAACTTTCCGGGTTTGTGAAAAATGGATAAGAACTATAGTGAGACAACTGCCTGATGTTTAGCAGTTGATCTCTGGAGAAAGTGATGTGG